CACACACACACACACACACGCACACACACACACACATCTGTTTCTCGTTCTCTGTTCAGCAGCATTTAACCACATAAATGCGATATCGTAATCAGTACTGTATCTTACAGATCGTGTTAAGAATACCCTGCTTAGCAAAAATCAGATACAATACCAAGAAGCAGCAATGCCGGAAGTACTCGGCTTAACAAAAATCAGATAGCCCACGATGAAGTATTAGTTCTTACGAATGGGGTGGGGTCGGAGTCAGTTGGGGAGGGAGGGGTGGGGGGAGACCATAATTTTTGCACAGTCAGAAAGCATTCGTGTTTACACATACACTGAAAGTGTCCTTGTAATGCAGTTTGTCTATTCCCTGCAAACAATAAATACTAAACAGTTACTACAATACAAATCTAAATATAAAGGATAATCAACTTTCATTCGCGAAAAGGGTAGAAAATAATAAAATTACTTCAGGTTTGTATTATGCAGCGCAAGCTCTTCTGCCTCAGAGGGATGATGAATGGGTTCGGTGGACGTCAATAGAGTCCACACATCAAACCCGTCATATCTCGACACATTAAGCTAAACGACAGCTAATTTGATACGCCAATACTGAAAAGCTATGTGTATTATCATCGCTGAATGGTCATTTATCGTTGCAGTGAGCGGGGTTGAATACCCGGCTTGATTCGGTGTTCCTGTTCCAAATCGAGTGCAGTATCTATTCGGAGATGTCTGTGACGGAGATAGACCAATCAAAATGTTTTGTGCCTCTGGACCTAGTAAAAAAAAAATCCGGGGTGAGGGAGGGGGTGTTACAGGGGGCCCCCTGTTTTAACCCATAATTTGATATTTTGCAGTTAGGTTTGAAAGTTTCTTGAAAATAATTGATTTGCAACAGTTTTAGTATATGTGATATAAGCAGCATGCTGGCAAACAATACGCAGTTTAACCCCCCAAAGCCGTGCATCTGTGTGCGAGAGTGCGTCTCCGAATAGTTCCTGGGTGCTCGCCGGAGACGTCTCCGAATATCTTCTGCCCAATCGAGAGTGAAGTAAGCCAAACCACAGTGAGGCACTAGGACGCTGCAGCTGTGGCCTTTTGCAGTTACTGTTATCGCACGGTTTTGCGGAAGGGATTAGTTGATACTTAGTTGTTTCTATTGGTTTTAGTGTGTGGATGTGTGTGTGTGAGCGTGTATGTGTATGTGTACGTATGTGTGCGCGTGCGCTTGTGTGGGTGCGTGAGTGGGAGGTGTATGTGTAGGAGGTTGTGTGTGTGTGTGTGTGTGTGTGTGTGT